CAGCCCACAAAAACCAAGTGTATTTTCCATGTGTTAGCAAGAGTTTGAAATTGGAATTTTTTTTTAAAGTCCTGTTCATAATAACATTAAAAAATATGAACCACAGAGGAAGAAATGGAAGGCCGGAAGAGCCTGCACAGTGCAGACGGGCGTTTCCGGGGGAAGCGGACTCCAGCGCCCTGAGCACCGCAGGTCTGATCGATTGAATTCCCAAGGCGCCGTTTTCCACCTCTGCCTGTGCACCTGATTGGCCTGTATGGTTCGTTACAACACGTTGCTCCCTAGACCTGCACAGTCAGAATCCTCTGGAACCGATCCCAGGACAGCTTCCGCCAGCGCCCCCCCGCCCCGCCCCGTGACTCCGATGGCTGCCTTGGGGAGCTGCCATAGGTGGTAGCAATGGCGGGGGCATCTCCCACCGGCCCGAGTGGAGGTCAGACTTCTGAGGGCACCCTCGCGGCTTTCCTGGAAACCCCAGCGGCCAAGCAAAGGCCGTCAGCCTCGCCACCCCTGCAACCCTCCCGCTGAGACCCGAGCCCACCGCTAGGGGGCGGACGCGCACCGCAGCGTCACCCGCGCGTGTTCCGCCCACGTCCTCCGGTTTGGGGGAAAATCCGTTCCTTCCCGGGGGAAAGCTGGAGTTACTGCATTTTTGCACACCTCGCAGAGCTGTTTTAAGGATTGGGTCAGGGGAGGCAACGTGCAAATTTGCTGCAAGTTTTCTCACGGCTGGAAAAGTCCAAGGTGAACATACAGAGAGGGCTGGAAACTTAAGTGAAAAGAGGAGTCTTGGAATATTTGTAACTGTCATTGCCTTGCATGAGAATCACGGGCTTTTAGCATAAAACCTCGCCTGCATTTTCAGGTGAGGCAGAGCAGGCGGCTGTTCCTGGCCCGGGAGGGTCGGCCCTGCCCCCTGCCTCCCGCCCCCAGCGGGTGTCACCCTGGCCCCACAGGCGGGACCACTGATCTGGCCCAGATACTCCCTCAGTATAAAGGGGGATGCGTGAGATGTGCGTGCGTGTTGGGCACGACTTCGTGTCTCCCCTCTATTCGCTCCATGGAGAAAGCATGTCTGGGTTTAGCCTTAGTCCGGCTGGTTCACTGGGCTATTTGACATTAGTTTAGTTCCCAGTTTCTTGGAGGGGGGGAGAAGACATATGTACAGGCCTAGCCAAAGACTTAGCAGGTGGGTTAACTTTTTCTCTAATTTTTAAAGTATTTTTTCAGTATCATCTTTGTATTGGTTTCAGGTGCTCCACGTGGTGGTTATGAGAGTCACATGCTTTCCCTGATATTCCCAGTGCCCACAGGGGTTTGGCTTCTTTGTGGGGTTTAGAGGATGAAATTAAACGTGCCCTCGGCACCAGATGACAGGAAGCCCGGTCCTGTCCCTTCACGGCGACCTGTCCCACACGGAACCTCCGAGCAGGTCCCAACAGCCTCCTCCTCACCTGTGCCCATGAGCAGCGCGATTAAGGACGCACCAGACAAGGGGACATCTGCCAGCTGGGGAACGGAGGGCTGGCCCCGAGCATGTACTGACGGGGCGGGAAGGACCTCACTGGCCCGCGCTTTGTCCCCCAATTACAAAGGGACAGACCGTGCCCGGAGTCCCTAGCAAAGCCTCCCACTCCAGAGGTGGTCAGAGGACAGGGGTGGTCCAGGACACAGGAGTTGGGAGCGACGCAGAGAAGAGCCTGGATCAGCCGAGGCCGCCTGCACAGCCACCACCTGGGGGGCCCCAGCCACGCCCCCTCGCCCACGACTCACAAGCTGTCACGGGCCTGAAGGTCCGCGGGCTCGGCGGCAGCTCCCACAGGCGCCCGGGACTTCCGTGGGTGGGCCTCCCCCACGGAGTCCCTTTGGCTCTGCTCAGCGCCCTGACGGGGCCGCGCAGCAGGGGGACACATGGCTGTTGGGAACAGCGTCCCTGCACAGTGAGGGTCACTGGGTGCCTGGGGGGCCAGAAGAGGAGAAAGGGAAGCTGAGGGAGGAGGGGGTGGGGGGGGTGGGTGACAGGTGATCAAGGTCTTTTACAAGCAGGACTGTGACTGCTGGGACCGTCTGGGAGTGTCAGCCACACAGATGGAGTCCTCCGGGGTGAGGACATTGAGTGTCCTCACCTGGGGCTTGCTTGCACTGTGGCAACGTCAACTCTGAGGTTTTGGTTTTGACTTTGGTCGTGGAGGCTGAGGAACCGGTGGCGACTGGCCCCGGGAAGGCTGCGGCAGGGATGCAGCCAAAGCTGGACGACAGCAGCGGGGCCCTGAGCCAGATGTCCAGGGAGCAGCCGCCTCCAGAAACCGCAGCCCGGCTTCCAGGGGCAAAGGAGAGGCGCCCGCGTGCCCCTCATCTCGCCAGGGGCCAGGACGGCGGGCGGGGGTCTGCCACCCGAGGAGCCGCGTCCACCCCGCCAAGGCCAGGAGCTGCCCTCCCCAGCGCCCTCATGACCCCTCCCGCCCAAGCACCACAAGGCACGAGGTGGCTCTCTGTGTCCATCTTTATTTACAGCAAAGTACAGAGTACACGGTCATTTCTGTAACTGTGAACAATCGAGACCAGGTGGTAGAAGGCAGAGGGGAGGGGCAAGCGTCTCCCAGGAAAAGTCCTTGCCCAGCTATCGGCCACTCCGGACGCAGGGCCGGCTACACCGCACGGGCGACCTGCGGCGGGGGCGGAGACCCAGGGACAGGAGGCCAAAGGGGCCTCTGAGCTCCAGGATCGGCCTGACGGCTCCCAGCCTGCCCGCTCCCTGGCCTTGTCCCACTCCACCCTGAGAAGGCGGTGAAGGGCCGAGGCTGCCTCCACTGCGCAGCCCAGCACGCAGGTGACATGCGACCCCACTGTCCTGCAGTGGCCCAGAGGCCTAATGAGGCGGGCGCCCCGCGCTGCCGCCAGACAAGTGTCCAGTGGGGCCGCGGAGAGGCAGGAAGCCTGTGCCCCGCGACCACGGAGCGGCGAGGACCAGAGCGGGGACGGCTGGCTCCGAAGGGTGCCCTGGGGACCCTTCGCCACCCTTCGCATCCTGCTAATCAGAGGTCCTTCTGTCTAACTGCGCCAGGCCCCCCCGCCCGCCACAGTCCATTCCACAGCAAAGGCCGCCCCAGGTCTCACCACCTGCGCACCAGACCTGCGCCTCTCGTCCCGACTCCCACTTCTGCTCCTGCTGGCCTCGGGCCGCCCAGGGAAAAGACACCCGTCCGCGGGGGCCCCGTGAGCCGGAAGGAGCATGGGGCCAGGCCTTCCCACGACCCGGAGCCTGGGCACCGGTTTCCCACCCGCCAGGCCTGCGGGCACCCCCTGCGAGGGGAGGCGGAGAGGGGGGAGCAAGCACCATGGGCGGCTCTGAAGCCAAGACCCCCAAGAGCACGACCGCCGTCACCCACGTGGCTCAGGGCGGCAGAGCCCCCGGGGGGCCTGGGGCCCGTTTCCGGCCCGATGACTCTCCAGTGCAATCAGAGACCCAGGGGCTCTTACATGCCAAGCCCAGGGTTTGTCAGGAAGCAAGCTCGAGTCGGACCCCAGGTGGCCACACACTACACTCCCCGTCTCCCCCGCGGCTGCAGGGGGTCCCTGAGCCGGGGCATCACCAGCACCGCAAGTGAGGTGGCCCAGCGCCCCCGGCCGGGACCGGACTACCCGGGGACACTGGGGCTTGGTCCCAACGCCACAGGCAGGCGAGGAGGCGGCTCGTTAAGTCAGGGCTCAGAGGTGAGAGGAGCCCACCTTCCAAGGCAGTGGGACCGGCAGCCAAGGCACTAAGTGGTTTGGCACCTGGGAGCTTCAAGTCAAGTCGAGCATGTGCCACCCACTGGTGGACAGGCCGCGGCTCCCGGACAGGGATGGCCCCCCCGGAGCACACAGGCCCGTTGGGGCAAGAGGATCCTCCTCCAGGCCTGCCATGCACCCCGCACACACCTCAGAGCCGGCTACGGTGGGACGAGAAAGGTCCTCCAGAGCCTCCGCCCGGAGGGCGCGGCCTTCAGAGCAGGCACCTGGAGCCCCCGTGCTCCAACCAGGCGGCCGTGGCCGGTGGGGCTCCCCCGGGGCCTGCGGGGCGTCTCCCTAGTGTCTCTGGGGAGGGCAGAGGGAGGCCAAGCTCTGTTGGGATTAGGTTTGACTTTTTGAAACAGCAGAACAGGGAGTCAAATCGAGTCCAGAAAAGGGGGATCCAAGTGGATGGTGCTGGGTCGCAGGGGGCGCCTGGGTGACTAGAGAGTAACAGTGACAGTGCATCTGGACGGCTGCCACAGCGCTGGGGGGAGGGGCCCCAGAAACGCCGCAGGCAGGCGGGTGACAAGCCGAGGGCATGGCGGCCCGGTGCTCAGCGCTTGCATGGAACTGAACCGCAAAGGCGCCGGCTCTCGGGCGCGGGCTCTGTCGTCAGACCTCGGTTTTGCTCGGTCCCCCGCCTTCCCGCACCCCTGACACAACACCCTTCCGGAACCTGGGCTTCCTCCAAAGATGCAAGTTTTCGCCAAGAGGGAGCCCCTGGGAAAGTTGGAATTCTCACCCCAAGTGTTTTCAACCCCCGAGCCCAGCCTGCACCTCCCTCCACACTCTATTTCCTGCCCCCCTAATGCCCGGTGCTGCCAGGCCCTGGTGAGCCCGCCTGTGATGCCGCTGAAGGCGCGGGCCACCCCGTCTCGCTGCAAAGCCCCATGTCTTGGGGACAAAAGCTACTGTCCGCTGCGCAGGCAGAGCTGTGTGGCCACCCCGTGAGGGGCTGCCAGCTGTCCTCCTGCCCGTGGAGTCCTCAGCAGCACCCAGGCTGCCAGGGAGGAGGGACAGGCAGCTCAGGCTTCAGAGACACCAGGATGCAGGCGAGCAAAGAAGGAGGCGTCGAGCAGCCACCCAGGCAGACGGGGGCGGGCGCAGGGACAACACAGAAGACGTGCTCTCCCGGGGGCCCCTTCCCTGAGTTTGCTTTTTCAGTTGAGGTCTTGCCTAATGTCAACTAAAAAAAAGAAAAAAAAGAAAAAAAAAAAAGTGTCCTCGCCGTATCGTTCAGCTCCAGCAGCAGGGCCGTTCCGCAGACAGGCGGCGTGCGGGCGCGAGCCTGCGGCGCTCCCTGCCTCCCAGGGGCTGCCTGGGACCCCGACGCCAGCTCCGGTCCCCAAACATCCACACAGGCCGTCCTGCAAAATACTTACGGCAAACAGCTTTACAGCGTTTGTACATTTACACAAAAATAGATCCTTTTATATGTATATGTATTTATAGCTGATTACAAGTTGGCTTCGTTATCGGGCATCAATAACCAGTAGTAGTTGGCACAGTTTGTCACGCAAGCTCGGGATCAAGTTCTGTTTCAAGGTCAAAGGCATTTCTTCTCCGTGTTGTTGTTTTAAATAAGCAGAGTCACAGGAAACCATATGCACAGATGACTAAGGCCCCCACCGCCGCCTCCCGTCTCCCGGAGCAGGGCCGGGGCCCCGGGGGGACGGGGTCAATGCGGCCGGCTGCTGGACTCCGAGGCCTGCCGCTTGCGGGCCGGGGTGTAGCCGTTGAGACAGCCGTTGGTCTGCCGCTTGGACAGCCCTCCATTCAGGATGTCCTGGATGTGCTGCACAATGAGGTTGATGGCCACTGTGGGGCAGAGACGGGCCGGGCATGAGGGACACGCCGGAGGTCCGGGCAGGCTGCGTGAGGGGGCGGGGGGAGGTCACGCCGCCCCCCCAAGCCCCCCGTGTGCCCCTCCGCCGCCCTCACTGAAGGCCTCCCGGAATGAGATAGGCAAGACCCAGGGCCCATGAAGCCCTAACAGACGGGCTTCCTAGCAGAGGATCAGACACGGCGGCGTGGAAGTCGGCAGCCCACATCCTGCCCGCGCCTGACACCAGCCGCGAGCCACGATCCGTCCTCAGGAAGCCTCACGGCTCCCCACCCGCACTGTGGTCCCACGGGAGCCCTCTCTTCCAAAGACAATCCAACATGGCACTCTCTTGCCTTACCATGAGAAACAAATTATGCAAATGATTAATTAAAGTCACCAAAACCAGGCAGACATCAAGTGCTTCCCAGGGCGGCGGGGTGGGGATGCACAAAGAGCATCCCGTCTTCCCCGTGTTCTCTCCATTGTAAAAGCGCACCCCGATTGTGGGGACACAAAGACAAGCCCCGGGGCAGGGAGGCAATCCGCAAAATGTCACCGTGGTGAAAAAGGGAGAAGGGCTGAGAAAAACCAGGAAACAGGCAGTGAGCCGTCACCGCTGTGGCTAACTCCCAAGGGCCTCAGCAAAATGTAAGCGTTCTAAACGAAGAAATGCTGGAATAAGCATGAGCAGGATGAGGAGACAGGCCTCTCCCCCCGTCGTGTGTCGGCCAGACAGTGTCAGTCCGTGTGTGTGCCAGGCAAACACACACACCTGTTCCGGGGGCTGTGCCCACGGCCGCCAGGCAGGCAGAACTGCTCCGCCGCAACAGCGGCCGCGCGGGCGCCGCACCCTGCCCGCCCCGCATGGACTCACCGAGATTGTCTACGCCTCTAGGGATGATCACGTCCGCGTACTTCTTGGTCTGCGGGGAAAGTTGTTGACAGCGCGTTACCAAGGCGTTCAGAGCGACACCAGCCCAAGCCCCTTTCCCAGGGGGCGGGGGGCAGGGGGCTTCGCTCCACCGACCCCAGAGGGCAGCGCCTCAGGCTTGGAACAGGATGCTTTTTACCCGCTTTATCTGAGTTACAATAAATCAGCTTTCCCTTGAGTTCTCATTATTAGCGTTCAGCCCGGTGTTGGTCTACAACCTGCACAGAGAGCAGGACCTCTGAGGCCCCACCTGCAGCTGCAGCTTCACCGCAAGAAAAGGCAGGAGCCAGCAAAAGCCAGCCGAGCGGGGGAGCAGGCCGCCGCGGAGCCCCCACTGGGGCCAACTTCGCTGGCTCTCTTATTAACTGGGTTTTTTTGAAGGGCACACTTAGCACAATTCTTGTTGTTTTGTTTTTAATAAATCTCTTTTTTAAAGATCTTATTTACTTATTTCTAAAGAGAGAAGAAAGTAGAGAGAGGGAAACATCACAGTGTGTGGTTGCCTCTCTCGCGCCCCCTATGGGGACCTGGCCCACAGCCCAGGCCTGTGCCCTGACTGGGAATCAAACCTGCAACGCTTTGGTTCACAGCTGGTGTTCTATCCACTGAGCCACACCAGCCAGGGCTTTTTTTTTTCCTTTTTCAATTTACTGAGACTTTGTGGACCCACTGTGTCCGGGGGTGTAACCCAGGTTTGGCATAAGGCCACACAAACAGTGTCTTCAGTCCGTGGGCATCTTTCCGCTGCAGCATCCAGACCAGAGCGGTTGCAATACACCTGCGTCAGGGCCCGGCCTGGCCCCACCCGGGCAGACGTGCTGGCCCAAGCTCCGGGCTGACGCGGGCGCGGCCCGGTGTCCCCTGAGCCCACAGTGGCCGGACAGCGCGAGCCTGCAGACACCACCCAGATGATGTTTGTGCAGAATTCCAAGCTCCGTCACAACTACGTTCAACGGCAGGAGATGGGCGGCGAGCTCTAATTTATGTCCAGTGATACATTAACTTCCACAGGGCAGCGCAGGAACGGTCCTCAGACGGGAGGGGGCGGGGCGGGGGTAGAATTTCACAGCTGCCTGGCCACTCTGCCCTCTTCCCAGAAACCTGATCCTGCCACCCGATCGCGGAGGTTACTCCCGCTGAGTCAGTCGGCCCAGCCCTGATCGGAAACAAAAAAGTCCAGTCTGTTCTGACGCACGACCTACTGACAGACTTAAAGAAACAAAGGCAGCTCCGGAGCCTATTTTTTCCAGAAAAGGAGAAAGGAAGGATTATGAGGAGAAGCAGAGAAATGGCCACTGTGGCCTCACTGTGCACCTCTTCTCAACGTCCTCACAGACCCCGGTCCCCAGAGGTGACACCTGAACCGGGCTGAGTCCCACCCTCCGGCCTTCTCGGAGCAGAGTCCTTGGGGAGTTAGGCCAGGCCCTGGTCAGCCTGGGGAAGACAGGACAAGGGTGTGGGTGTCCCCTTCCTCCACCGCGGCCTGCCGCCCACACCTCGTCCCTGGTGGCCTCCCGCGCTCCGAACTGTTCCAAAGAAGCTGAGGACCTTCCTTCTCAGAAAGCCACCTCGGTGGAGTCCCAGCTGCCAGGACAGACGGATGGACGCGTCCCCAGCATGGCATCCTTCCCAACGGGGACGCGTCCGGGCCAAGACCAGCCACAGCAGGCTCGGCCTCAGTGACAGGAGGGCCAAAAGGAAGACCCCCGCCCACATGCCACCCCCCTCGGAACCTTCCCAGACCCAAACAGCCCCGTCTGTCCCGAGACGTGACCGCCTTCAACAAAGGGCTCCCCCAGGAACCCAGCCAGGGGAAGGCGAGCTCGCTGGGACCGAAGAGCTCGACCCTCAGGGCCCCCCAACGGGACAGGAAGAGAGGACAGACGCTCCGCAGTGCGCCCGCCGTGGGATGGGCTCCTCCGCTCCATAGCCTTCTGTGCGTGTGACTTAAATTTTAAATTCTAAATCCAGCGAACGCCCAAGTGGGAACGTGACTCACCGGCAAGCAGAATTCCTCGAAGGCGGGCTTGACGAAGGTGATGTACTGGGACAGAATCTGCTCCAGGTCCCGCCCTCTTTCGCTGATGTCTCTTAACACTGCAAGAGAAGGGGGAGCCGGAATCAGGAACCGTGCGGGACCCACGCACGCCTGCTATCGCGAGGCCGAGCAGGCCCTCGGGCGCCATGACGCCTCCGCACGGTCCGCCAGCCGGGCCTGGGGGCTGGCTGGGAGCAGGTCAGCGGCGGCTTCAGAGTAACAAGTCTCATTGCCAAGTCTTGCTGCAGTCAAGTTCTGCTACAACGCATGCTCCCCAAGGCAAGAGCTGTCCACGGGCTTTGTGGTGCAAGCAGCGTGCGACCCCAATAAACCACAGTGCAAACAATCCAAGAGTGGGGCAGTCCTGTAGAGCTGCCAACTGCGGGGCCGGGGTGGGGGGCGGGGGGGCGGCGGGGCTTCCTGGCGAGGGGGCCGTGGTGCTGAGACTTTCCCCCGGGCCCTCCCGACTCCTGTCCCCTGCACCGGCGTGCCTTCCAGTGGCCCTCTGCTGACGTGCCCACCCCATCTCGCCCCGCTCACCCCCCAACTCCAGGCCCTGTGAGGGGAAGCAGGCAGGCGCCCGCCTGAGGCTGGCCTCCCGCTTGGTTGTGCACCGAGGTTTGCAAAAAGAAAACCACTTAGTAAGCCCTGGCCAGGTGGCTCGGTTGTTTGGAGCGCCGTCCCGGGCACCAAAAGGCTGCGGGTCCGATCTCTGGTCAGGGCACCTACCCAGGTTGCAGGTTCGATCCCCAGTCAGGGCGCAGATGGGAAGCAACCAATGGGTGTTTCTCCCATCTACGCCCCTCTCTCTCTAAACTCAGTAAAAACGTATCCTTAGTTGAGGAGTTGAAGAAACAAAGTCCACGTCGTGAAGATGAGAAAACTGCGGCGTGGGGAACGAGGGACGGGCGACCCCCAGGGAGCGGCCCAGACTGGCCACACTCGCCGTGTTCTGCTCGCTTCTGGGCGGTGTCATTCGGGGGCCCTCACACCCCTTTTCCAGCAGAGTCTTCGGTCTAAAATGGAGAGGGCCCGCCCGACTGAGGGACGGGCACCCTGGCTCTGCCAGGCAACACTAGCTTCCCCGAGCCTCAGTATCCCCCAGAGCCAGCAGCGCGCGTGCAGGGGAGCCTGCCTGCCACAACGGCCCCTCGCCACAGAGGTCACTTTAAACCCGAGCAGCAGGAGCTGTGAAATCTTTCACTCCCACCCCCAAAAGGCATCACATCCACCCCCGGTGGCGTGTGACGGCTCCTGGCACCCCCAACCGTCTCCCGGGTCACGACTCCAGCGTGGGGTGACTCTCACGGTGAGCAAGTGCACGGGGTGCTTGTGCGCAGATTTCTCGAAAGACACATCTGAGTAACGCCGTCTGCCTGCATGTGTGCACAGGGCACGCGTGAGCAGGCGGGCGGGTCAGGGGGGCGGGAGGGCGTCCTGGCCGCCATCACGCAAGCTGGCCCGTCCGCTGAGACGGGGTGGCTGGAGCCCACTCAGGGCCACGGACCAGAGCAGAGACCATGCTACCGCCCCTGCCTCCCGCAGCTCCTCGGTTCGCAAGGAGCCCTGCCCACGGGAGCCCCAGGAATAAACGGTCGGTCAGTCCCCAACTGTCGGGATGTGCCTCACGCCCCTTCAACTGTCCACCCAGACCAGAGCGGGCTGTACCCAGGGGCATTTCGAGACAGGCTCTGCTCCGGCCACCCTGCAGGGCTCCACGCCCCCAGCCCCCTGAGCTCGGCACGTGTGGCCGCCAATCCCTCATGTCCCCAGATGAAGGCCACACGAGAGCGGAAGCCAGACAAAAGGCTTCAGGAGCTGGGACAAAACCAACAGGCCCGCCCCAGGCGGCCTCTCTTGAAGCCCTAGCCCGGCGCCCGGGCTGCTCCCCAAGGCCTGTGCCTCAAAGGGCGCCGAGAGCGTCCGCCCGCAGCGCCTCTGTCCTCGCAGCCCCAGGCCTCCCGCGCCCGGCACCGCTCGCTGCACGGCGGAGGGTGGGGCAGGCAAGGACTAGCAGGGAGGCCACCCGCGTCAGCTCTGCAGCCTAGAAGCTGCTTTTCTGGCTCCGCCATCGAGAGCAACGGGGACAAAATGGGGGTGTCTGCCCTGGAACAGGAGACAGGGAAGGGTGAGCGTGTCGGGGACACCGAGACTCTGAAGGCCCGTCTGCCCGGTTACCAGGTCACGGGCCAGGTCACGGCTCACTCCTGGGCCGCGGGACATAGGGCCAAGCCGAGTGCTGAGTCCCAACAAGTTGTTGGCCCAGAGCGGAAACCATAGGGACGCAAAGCTGGCTCCCTGGCCGTCCCTGAGACCTGGCACAGCTGTACCAGGACAGGCCCAGCCAGAGGCGAGTCCAGGGCAGGACACCACACGCCCAGCCACCTGTCCTGTGTGGCGTCCACCCCGGCCCGTCCAGAGCCACTGACACTCGTCAGAAGGACCGCGAATCAATACAAATCCTCAGCTGTCCCAGGACCCTGTCTGGGTTCTTCCGGGTCTCTGGGACGGTTAGGATGTGGGACAAGAGGTCCCCGTGGGAAGCAGGCACAGCTCTCCAGGGCTGCACGACTCACAAGACCTGACGGACAGACAAAACCAGGGAGCTACGCCAGGCCTGCAGGAACGTCCCTGGGCCCGCAGCTGCTCCCGACGTCCGCCCCCCCGCCCACCGTGCCCCCACGGAGCACACGCCAGCAGGCCTGGCCCCGGCCCTGCGTGGCGGAGGATGGGTCTATAGACATAGCACGTGGAAAGTCCCGCAGGCCCACCAGGGAAGAGACGCCAACAGGTGGCAGGAGACAGCGCCTTCCTGGCAGCCACAGGAAGGTGGCGCTGCAGAGCGGAGGCCACAAAACCGGAGGGGCCGCCACCCCCCATTTCACAGGAGAGTCAGGACGAGCGAGGGAGGGAGAACGGGCCGCTCGAGCTCTGCCCTGATCCTCCACCTGAGTGAGAGGAGATTCACAGGGCGTCCAAGGACAAGGCCGCCGCTGAGAACTTCCTGGGCGGCGCCTCGGCCCCTCCCCCAGCACTTCGGCAGGGCCCCGGCGCCCCGCAAACGCACCGCACCGCACCTCTGCGGGAGAGCCGGGTGTCCGCGTCCGTGTCCACGAAGAGCTTCATCTGGAACAGGTCCCGCACCTCCTGGGAGTAGAAGGCCAAGATGCCTTCGAAGAGCACCACGTCCGCGGGGTAGACGGTGACCGTCTCCTCCTTCCTGCAAGCACAGAGCAGGCGACGGGCTGAGCGGGCCGGGGCGGGGGACACGAGCTGGAGCTCGCTGGGAGCCGGGGCGCTCCCTCAGGCGTCACGCAGGGCTCCCTCAGCCCGACGCAGCCCTCGGTCCCCACTGGAGCCCCGGCAAAGGGCGGGGACAGCCGGTCGGAGCTTTCAGCATGAGGCAGGCACAGAGGACAGACGTCCCCATCCTTAGAATAAAAACACCTGCTGCTGAATGGACAACAGAGCCAGAGGCGGACGCGATGCCCCCTTTTCGCCAAAGGCCACTGCGGCCATGCGCTAGGGCCTGGCTTCCCTGGCCGTCCACAACCGGTGGCTCAGTTTCCTCCCTGCAACCCGCCCTACCCCCGCCCTGGGGCCCCTGGAAGGAAGGAGGAAGGCACAGAGGGAAGTTCCAGCTGCCCCCACTGAACCCGTCCCCTCCAGGTAATGAACGGCATGTCCAACCTATTCCAAGAAGCGCCTGGGTGACACCGGGGTGCGCACAGCTGCTGTCACCGCCCTCTCCGGACAGGTGGCCGCGGGCAGGGGTGGCCGGCGGCCAGTGGCCCGCGGAGCGGCTCACTCACCGGGAATGGGAGACGAAGTCGTACACCGGGATCTGCACAGTCTTTCCCTCGGTGATCTCTCTGAGGGTTTTGAGGATGAGCTCATTGTCAAAGGCATCTGAGGGAGAGCAAACTGCTAAGACAGCCTTCCTTTTGAAACGACCTCTCCCGCGGCCAGGCTCGGGGCGCCCTGCAAGCCTGTCCCTCTCCGCTGGGCACCACGCGCTGGAGGGGCACACCCCTCCGCCCCCCAGAAAGCCAGATTTCTACCCAAAGCGGAACACGCACTGAGAGGCTCGGCACGTGTGCGTGAGCTCGGACAAGCGGACGTTCTCCCGGCCCTGCAGCCCCTCCCTGGCCTCGCGCCCGCTCTCCTCCCTGCCCGTCCACCAGCAGTCCTGGGGCGGGCACGTGTCCCCTTGGAAAGATACCCGGACCCGGGAGGGGGCAGCAGGCACCACGCCCATCTGCTCCGATTCCAACAACTCAAGAACCCCCAGCCGGAGGGGCGGCGTGCAGACCGGGGACCGCCCAGGCGAAAGCCGAGCAGGCGGCCAGCCGGACCCCCACCCGCCACTGCAGCGAGTTTGTGAGTCAGCGAGTCTGGCACCCACACACGTCCGTCCGCACAGTGCCGGGTGCCGTGAGACGGACAGGCTGCTTCAGAGCGGAGGACGCAGGACAGCCGGCCGTGCGTGGCGCCTCCCGGGTCTGGCCCGTCTCGGGGGATGGGCGCACACAGGGACACCTCGTCCAGGACAGAGACTACCAGGACTTAGGGAGCCAAGAGCTGCGCGTTGTGTGGCGAAGCTGCCTCCCTGGAAGCCCCACCTGAACGCTGTGAGCTCCCAGCAGCCCCGTTTCCAGGCGGGAAACGGCCAGGCCACGGCTCCCGCCGCCCCTGCCGCGCCCCCAGCTCACCCGGGTGATCGAAGTTGAACTGGCCCTTCAGGGCCTTGGCCTTCTGCTCCGAGGTGAGGACGCGGTAGAAGCTGTCCTGGCTGAGGATGACCACCTGCTTCTGGCGGTAGTCCACCTCGTTCTGGCCCAGGAGCTGCACGATCTTCGCGCACACGGAGGACTGCGGGGAGAGAACACCACGTGTTGGGGGCCGCCCTCCGCCCCGGCCCCAGCGGCAGGGGCTCTGGGCGCGGGCGCCAAGGGCCGCCCCTCCTGTGGTGGCGAGGCTGAGGGTGGGTGCCCCTGCTGCATCTTGCACAGCTTGCTACCCTCAGCCCCCCGTGGTGAAGGCGCGGGGCGGGGGGTTGCTGCCGTCTCTGGCTGCCCCCCGCCCCGCGGCTTTTCCCGAAGCACCAGTAACAGTTCCCACGAGCTCCTGCTCCCCTGCTCGGACCCTGAGGTGCACACGCAGAAAAGGCAGCAGAGCGAACAGAGAGCCCGCGGATGCTGTGCTGATGGGCCGGATGGCTCCCGTGGAGAGGTGACCGGGTGTCCACGGGACGTCACTCAGCAGCCCCCCGCCGCCCCCATCTCTCTACAGCCACAGGACCGGCACCCACGGCACAGAGCTCGGGTGGTCCCCGGGGGAGCCAGGCCGTGGCTTTCATCCCGCCTCTGCCACCCCTCGTCCCCTTGGCTCTAGCCCTCAGCCCCGGGTCTGTCGCCCTCACGGCAAAGCAGACACGTGGAGCTGGAGTGACCTGGGAAACGAACTTCATCACCACCCACAGCCGCTTCAGTGATTCCCAGCGGAGCATGGGGACCCACTCCCAAATGACCTCAAACCCACAGGCTGTGCTGCAATGGGCCAGAGAATTCTAGGTGACCGCTAAATCGGGGCACCGGGCACAGAGAGGCTCATGTTACTACTCTTCTCTGCACTGGGGCAGAGCCTGAATTTTCACAGGATCCGGGGAGGGGCCCCTGGGCGCCACTGTGCCCCCCGCCTCCCCCGTGAGCGGTCTTCTCCTTCCTGAACGCCCCCCGGCTCTGTCCCATCCACTTTTCCCTGGGCGCCTTCGTCCAAGGGACGAGAGGGCGCTTCAAGGTATCCTATTCCCTTAAGAAAGGGAAGAGCTCATGAACCACCTGGGCGCAAGGCAGCAGCCACGAGAGTACAGGATGCTGAAACGGAGAGAGCGAGCCACTTCCAGGGCGGGCCGGGGCCGAAAATAATTATCGTCACACGAGACAAATGCCAGACGATCCCGCCTGCACGCGGTATCTAGAGCAAGTCACAGAAACGACACGCAGCGCGGAGGGAGCCAGGGGCCCGGTCGCGGAGAGCCGTTTCCTGGATCCAGTTTCAGCTTTGGGTGATCAGGTTCCAGGGACTGGCTGCCTGATAACGTGAACGCGCCCAACACGACTGAAACGTGCAGGTGGAATACGGCGAAGGCGGGGACCTTTAGGTGACACCTGTTTTGCCACAATGACAAAGAACGGCTATTATCACAAGAGCTCATAGGCGACAGCGGCTTCTTGGGCCAGGGATGGGGCTCAACGTTTTACCATGATCTCGCTGATGCACTGCCACCTTACACAATGGAAATCACCGCTATACCCGCTCTACCGATGGCGGAGGCTGAGGTGACGGAAGTTGAATGGGTTGCGCGAGGCCAGCGGCAGTGGACCCAGGGCCCCAACGCCAACAGCCAGACCCACTGCCCCCTCCCGGCTGAAAAGAGCCCTCCCGTGGGGGCCGCAGCTGGGCTCCGCTTCGCGCGAGGTCTCCACGTGCGGCGCAAGGCTGTGCGCAGGATGTGCTCTGCCCCTGCGCCTTCTAACAGGGTATCTTGATGGGGGCAGCCGGCGGAGGGGCGACAAGCCAGCCGGCACCAGGGCTGTGGTCCTAAGACAAAGTTAAGGCCAGGTCAACGTGAGGGACCCTTCAGAGAACGGAAAACCCTAGGAAATCATGAGATGGTGGCAAGCTACTTTTTCCCCGTGGGGAAACGGACTTCGAGAATCATCGCGTTCCATGACTTGCTCAGGCGGCCGTGGGTCTAGCTCCACACACACCGCTATTTCCGCTGTTCCAGAACCGAAGCCCCGGCAGCCTCCATCAGCTTATTCCACGCTACGGGGCAGGGACGGGGGGGCATGAGGCAGGGAGGGAATCAGGCACACGGCACAGCTCTGTCCTCCCCGTCATGAGGCCCACGCGCATGTGAAATCTCACACAGTTCCATGTCGCTACCAAGGCAGGCAGGCGATCTGTGTATCAAGAAGCCAGAAGAAAATACAGCACGCGCACACCTGTTCAAGGTATTTGAAATCTGCATTTGGATTATGATCGAAAGAAGCCAGCTGTTAGAAGGCAGTCACTGGGGGCCCAAGGAATTCCCAGCAACGCAGAGACTGTGCCGACAGCGAGCTGCACACCCAGCCGGTCCCCAGATGTGCTGAGCCTCCGGCGGGGCCCCTTCCTCAGACACTTCCCGCTCGGGGAGCCGTTGCGGCTGGTCCACAGGCCGCCAGCTGGAGGCCCTGACAGCCCACTCGGGTTCCCACGCTGCTGCTGCGGGAGCGCGCTTCTCTCAAATGGTGCTTGCGGGGCGGGGCGGGGGCCCGCTGCCCGACACCCTCCCCCCCGAGCTGTTCTGGGGTGTCTGCAGGGCCTCACCCGCCAGGCCCTCTGTCCGTCCCGGTTCCACAGGACACTGAATAAACCAAGACACCAGCAGGGCAGTCGGGCTCTGGCAGCGTTTGGGTGCGGCCTCCCTGGCATGCGGACGGCCTGGCCGAGCCGGCCGGCCGGGGAGGGGCGGAGCTCAGCCCCCAGCTGCAGTCCACCTGTGTCCCCAGGGGAAGGGGCGCCCTTACGGATGCGGCCCGGCACCTCAGAACCCCACCCGGTGGTCCAACCCGCTCCGAGGGAGCCGGTTCAGACTCAGGAGGAAAACCTGAAACCACTCGGCCCAAGACTTCACCTGGGCCGGCAGGTCCAGGTGACGCACGCCCACTCGTCCCCTCCCCGCCTCGGGACAGGAGGCGGCCATCGGCTGACACCTGCCCCGCGCTCCCCGCCCGGCTGCTCCAGTGTAAGAAGGTGACAGGCTTCTGGCAGAAAGACCTCCGCTCTCTCGGCGGCCTCTCTCGCGGCCTGTGCACGCATCGCCTCGGTGACTCCTGACGCGTTTTCTTCCCCGTCAATGTGGTTACGCAGGACGCGCGCCACTACCTCAGGAGTTGCTCCCGCAGAGCTCAAAACCTCCCTTTTCAGAGGCGCAAGCGCCAGCTGTTGCCCTGGGTGCGACGGACCTGCTGGGGGGGTCCCCGGTCCCACGGGCTGGCTGGGGCAGCAACGGGTGGTGTCACTCAAGGCTCCCCTGGCGGCCCGTCCCGAGGTCCCGAACGGCCCCAGAAACCACGCGTCATTCAGTGGGTACAACAGCCGCTGCCGCCACCCCCGACCACACACACATCAAAGGCCAAAAGGCAGCCATTTTCCGAGGGCTTTATGGGCATCCCGATCTTTAATCTTCACGCTGACTGGGGGAGGCGGGTGTTCTTACTGCGCCCGTTTTGCGCGGCAGGAAACCGGCATGTGGACAGGTAGGCTACGGGCATTGCCCCGCGAATCCAGCTCACGGGCTCTTAGCCGCCACACAGCCTGACCCGCCACACGGACAGAGGGGACAGACACCCCTTCCCAGGTGCCACACGACCCTGCGGCCACGGTGACACAGAAGCTACAGAAGGGCGGTCTCAGCTCGGCCCGAGGGTGCTCCCAGCCGGCTCTGCAAGCGCAGGCCTGACGGGCTTCCTCAGGCGTTCACTTTCCTGATGACTATGTCCCGAGGGAAAGGGCAAGGCCGGTCACTTCTGACCCCTCCGGCTGGCTCTTTGGTAGGAAAGGGCCCCCAAGTCCAGGCTCGAGGGGGCAGGCCCGGGCGCTCTGGGGACAGCAGAACCCGTGCAGGTGTTTGGAGCAGAAACGAGTGAACGCTTTAAGGTCCCGGCAGACGAAACCCACACACTCACGCTGGCTGGTGGGACAGCCACCAGAGGGACCCTCGTGGAAGGCGAGACACAGCGTCCCTACCTGCTAACTGTGGAACGAACATGCGGTGACGTCGATGAAGGTTGCGGGACTCCGCGTCCCCGTGGAAGCGGAAAGGCAACCCTGGAACAGGTATGAGCAGACACGGCGGGGGAAGCTGACAGGCGAACGGGTCCGAAATGAAAACTGCCATAGTTCTGTGTCATCTCAAACAACAGGAAGGGGGGGGGCCGCGGGTGCACGTGCGTACACGTGTGTGTGCACGCGTGCACCTCCCCCCACCCCCCAGGAAACCAAGCTCTGGCTGACAGCGGCCACCAAGCGAAGGCAGGACAGGACAGGACGGCGGTTGTGCTCAAGGGGCGACGCAGGCCTCGCAGGTGGATTAAAATCACTCAGCACAAAACGCCGATTCCAGCCTTCCTGTGCAGATTCCGAGCCTGAAGAGGGAATCTGTGGGCCCCTCTTCGTGGTCCCCACCGACACACACGCGCTGTGCGGAGTCTGCGGCCGTGAATCCCCCTCCGAAAGGTGGGAGCACAGGGCAGGGCGGACCTGCTGGAGGGTCCGTCCTTCCCGCCGCGTGGGTGCAGGGGAGGTCGGCTCTGCCTCCTGCCGTGTCCATGCGGGTCAGGCGGCCCGCGGGGACGGAACGACCCACCCACGGAGCCTCTGTCCCAGGACAAGGCGAGCACGACTCTGGCCGAGGCATTCCATGGCCACCCACCGGCTTCCGTCTGGCTTCCTGAGCAAGGACAATGAGCCTGTTACAGAAACGGTGGCCCAGGACCTGAGGCCCTTCTTGGGGACAGACAGCAAAAGAGAGCTGACCTCCCGTTTTTAAAAACTGAACAGACAAAGGAGGGCGTGAGCTGCCAGCTGGATCCTCGGCTCCATCTCTGCACATAGAGGCCCCACGTGGGCGACCGGGGACGCGGGCCGACGGCTCGGCAGCGCTTTGTTGTAAAGCAGACTGCGTTAACTCTTCCTGTCCGGTGATCTCTATTCAAGTTGTGGACAAGCGGAAATCAGACGATCTGATTATCAAACAATGTTTTTTTAAATTGTTTCCTCCCTAGGTCTCCCCCAGCGCCAGCATCTAACCACAGAGCAGC